AGATCCTCCATATCTAAGTATCAGAGAGGACAGGCAGGCTGACAAATGATTGTCCTGATTAAAGCAATGATGCCAGTGTGGGGTGTTGTTTGCACACAGGCTGTTTCCTTTGAATAAGCCTTTCCTGACCTTTACAGCAGGCAAGAGCAATGCTTGCTTGAGGACAGCACACTTCATGTGAGCAATTCAAGGAAGCCATAAAAGAACATAGATCCAGGCCCCAAGGCTTGGAAAAACCTCTGCTGTTGTACTGTTGTTGCATTACAGAAAAGCTGTAACCATTCACCTCAGCAAGGACACAGGTTTGAGTGACCCCAGGATAATAGTGGTGCTCTTGCACCAGCCCACACACAGGGTGCGTGGTCACCTTGTCCTCTCCTGTGATGGCAAGGTCTGCCAAAACACAGAAGCACAGCAGAGACAAAGAAGATACGTGTGCAGGTAGGAATCAGCTGGTACATGTGGAATACCTACCTTTGCAGTGGACCTCTGTTTGCTGCTAAATGCTTCAGCTGTGCAATTATCCATGAGATTTCCCAATTCCTCACCCAGGGACACAGAAAGCATGAACCTTGCTTGTAACCAAATATTCCTTTTCCCCACTAACCTTGTGCCAAGCACCAGTAGGAGGCAAGGGACTACTGATAGGTATTTTTTGATAAATACACTTTACAGGCAACACATAGATCACCTCTATACATCAGGATGTGTGCATTATCTTTTTTTATATAATCAGCAATGACAGCTGTTCATTCCATAGTGCTACACTTACAATATCACAAAAAAGTCTACTGTCTATTGGTTGCATAACAAAATAAAATACATGGTGTATTGGGGTCTCTTATGCATCCAGAGAAGAACACTCTTCTCCCTTGCATCAGCATTTGTGAACTGGAAGCCTCCACTGTTGTGATAAAATTAAAGAGAAGTGGTTGTGCTATGCAGTGAGAGCCCCTAGTTTACCCTAATTTACTCTGTTTTGGATTGGCTGCTCCACAATTAGTATCATGGCATTTAAGATAAGACAGGAAAAGGGGCTATAGAGAAATGAAGTCATTAACTTTCAAACCCAGCAAAGGTGATACAAAATTATACCAACAAAGTGAAAAGTGGAAGAAATTTTTGTTGCTGCAGATCTTGTAAATCTCAAGTATGGAAATCTGTGTTGATAAGTGTAGGTAAGTGTTATATGAATGATGACTTGCCAAGTACACTGAGCTGCTGTCACTATGCACAGATCCCATATGTGAAATGCTTAATACCCTCAGCTCCTAATACAACAAGTGGAAACAGAGAATTAGTAGAAATATATTCAAATATTTTAAAATTAAATGTAAAATTTGCCAATGTTTAATCTGATCATGTCTTCTCATTGCTCCCTGAAAAATTTAAAGATCTACTTTGTTTTTTTATTCCTTTGACAGGGTATTTTGACACATTACCACCAACCTAGCCTGCATGCTATTTGGATATACTAGTGTTGAAATATATCTGATGTCCAGCATACAATAATTTTCTGTGGGGTAAGTGGAAAGTGCATTGAATTTTTCCTTGAGAGACTTGCTCAAGGCATGGATTCTATTTTCCTCTAGTTATAGTGAAGGTACAGCTAAAATTAAATTTTGTGCTTTACTTTAAGGTTAAAAAACACATTAGAAGTAAATCATTAATTCGTAGCATCTCTGATCATTGCTATTAATAGCAAAGTAACTGATATGTAGCAGAGATTGCACACTTGAGTTCCTAAAATAAACTTGCTGTGAAAAAAAGGAAATAGTGCTAGTACAGTTGGTGAAGTACATTAGTACATTCCAAGGATCAGTAGGTTGAGTTCTTCCTTAGGTTCATAGTTGTGCAGGTGGAGACAACTGCTCAGCCATGCAAGCTGGTAGGAACCCCACCAGATGCTTCTCTGCTCTGCCCAGGCTGCATCTCTGAGTCTGCTGATGAGCAGGAGCAGTTTATCCAATATTTCTTCTTGGACCAAGGGTTTGTGATTACTTGTGAGGCAAGTAATACGTGGTGTTTCATAATCTATTAATTTTCACTGAAGGGACCTGCAGCTGGAAGTGAGTTCTGTTATGAAATGTTGATACATTTCCTTCCCAGAATGAATGGAAAGATTAAGGGGAAATTCTCTTTCCCCAAGTTCATCTTTTCCCATTCAACCTGGACTTGCACCACATCCACGCAGCACAGCCCTGGGAGTCTGTAAAACTATGACTTCTGTTTCATCTGATTCAATTTAAAATAGAGATAACTTTCAGTTTTAGATAAAAATAATTTAAGTTGGAATTAGATAACTTATCTTACACTAAAACACTGTTTTTCCTGTTAACATTTCTATTGAACTCCATGGACTTGAGTTTATGGTGTAAGAAATCATTCAACATGATGAAACATTGCAATATCAGACTTTACTATAGGAGACACCTTTGTTTTGTATTTACAGGGGATCCCACCCAGTAGGCATCTTGTCCATAGGAGGAGCTCTTAAGCATAGTGCCAGACAATAAACTACCAATAATAAATAGTTACAACATCAAAGGTACAGTAGTATAACACCAGCAGAACACTATGCTGGCATCATAGGATTTCTAGTTTTCCCCAAGGTAAATATGCAGGTACATTAGCAGCTATAGTACCTATGTGTAAATCATGACATGAAAATCTCATTCAGGTGTCTAAGGAAAATACAGTTGAGAACATTAAACCAATACTTTTTTAAGCTACTCTTGCTACCCATTTTTTTGTGGTAGAGCTCCTAACTACCTGATCTTGCTGTCTGTGCCAGTACTGCCACTCATTCTTCTAGCCAGAGGTACCTTAAATAGTCATGAACTAAGAACCACAAAAAGGCTCAGTTTCCTTGAAAAGCCATGAAGAATCCCTGCATTGTTCTTCCCCTCTGTTACAGAATGATGGGAAATAGTCACTTCAGAATCTCAAGTGTAAACTCCAGCAAAAAAAAAAAAAAAAATCACAGGAAGTCGAGATGATCACTTTATATCAAAATCACCATGCATTTGCCAAGAAAATGTAACACTTAAGATATTACCAAACCAGAAGAGTAAAGAAACAGGAAAATTCATACTTCAAGCACATGGCTTTTCCTTGCCAAATAGTATTTCAGAGCGCTGCCTAATTAGGTATCTCCCATCACCCACATGTCCTTCAGATGCACAGTTTGGCAGGCAGCTTCTTGCTGTCACTAAGCACCAGTTTTCTCTAGCATATATTAGCTTGCATTTCCCAGGGTCACTCTCAGTGAATTCCCTACCCAAATTTGTAACCACTCTTTGATAATTGGTGTTGCTGCTCTGACTTAATGGCTTAGGCACATTTGAATCCTCCCTTCTTGTGGTATTTTCACAACACTTTGCTTTCCAAAACAACATGGAATGGATCATCACTTCTCTTTCATCGTATTGCCAGTCCACATATCACATGTAATACAATAAAAATTTATTCACTTGTATGATTTAATGAGATTCTTTAACCTTTTTATTAGTAAGATGTAAACATAATTTATGATTTGGCTAATGTCTGAAAAATCAAGCTATTCTAGTAAGTTTGTTTTTCAGACACTGAAGCTGTTTCATCATTTATGGCTTCATATATGCTCAAGGAGTCCAATCCTACCTCCTCTACTTACACAGACAGTTCCAGGAGTATGGATTATGAGAATGGACAGAATTCAAGGCCTCTAATAAAGAACAAGGGATTTTTCAGTTGTGATTATGCTATATTAATGGTTTGACAGCTATGAGTTTCTGGTTGAACATTAAGCCTGTGCATTAAAATGTGACACAAAGGACCTCCTTTCCCTCCCTAAATCTGTAACAGAAAGAAATCAAGAAAATGTTACCACTGAAACAAGTAAACCTCAGAATTCAGTCACAAAAGGGTTTGATAAAGATGTGAACCACAGGTTACTCCAGCCTTTTTTTTTTCAGCGTGACTGTTGAACATACAAACTAAACCCCTGGAGATGCTAATTCTACCTCTGACTGGGACACTGTCTCATTTACAGTTTCTTACTAATTTTTTTTTTTAACCTAACTTGTAGGGGTAGCTTATCTTTTGCTCTTTTGTAATGAGACTACACTGATGATGGGATCTCTTGCAGCTTACTGGGCCACTAGTTACATAACTGTACCTTGCTGTGCTTTAATGTCTTCTCAGCGGCTCAGTGTTATCATGGGCTAAATCAAATGAATATTTAACAGGGCTAGGCCACACTGAAAATAGTTTCCAGCTGGGAAAATCTAAACTGAGTGACTGACTGAATGTGTAGTTAGTTAATAGATACAGATTTATGCTTATTTCTACAAAGGGTCCTAATAGTACAGCTTGATGCAGTAAACAAAACCAAAATAAAAGAAATAAAATCAAAACCATTCGTTGTGCTTCCTGCAGGTTATCTGTGTGTTAAGTATTACTCCTAGTGCTTATAAAAGTTTAGTCCCTTGCCCAGGGTAAACCTGGGCTGCAGCATATGCCATTAAAGTTTAACACCGAGCTTTCCTGCTACAGAATGTTTTCGGCTGAGGGTCCGCAGTGCTGCGGGCAGGGGCAGCTGCCAGTCGCACCCGTTTACTTCTCCCGGGGAGACGAGAGCGGAGCCCGGGGACGGCGGCCGGGCAGCTGCTCTCCCTGGGCGGCTCGACCCCCCCGCCGAGCCCCGCAGCGCGGCCAAGCTCCGCCGGCCCGCCCCGGGCCGCGCCCTCAAAAGGGGCACGGGGCGGAACAGCGGCGGCACCCGCACCGATAGCACCGAGGGCTGCTCGGGGAGCCGGCGGGGCCGCACCTCGAACAGCGCCGCGGCAGGCTCTCACCGTGACCGCCCGTGCTCCGCTCCGCCCGGCGGCACCGACGGCCGCGGCAGGCCCTCACCGTGACCGCCCGTGCTCCGCTCCGCCCGGCGGCACCGACGGCCGCGGCAGGCCCTCACCGTGACCGCCACCGCCCTCCCCACGACACCAGGGCGCGAGGGCACCATGACCCTGCTCAAGCTGTCCCTCATGGCTTTCAGCTTCGTCTTCTGGGCAGCGGGGCTGACCATGCTCATCATCGGCCTCTGGGCCAAGGTGTCTCTGGGCAGTTACTTGGCGCTGTCGGCCAGTGACAACCCCAGCGCCCCCGCCATCCTCTTGGCCACCGGCGTCGCTGTCATCATCTGGGGCTTCCTGGGATGCTTCGGCGCCGCTACGGAGCACCGGGGACTCCTGCGCGCCTACAGCGCCTTCCTGGCCGCCGTGCTGGCGGCCGGGCTGGCGGCCGGGCTCTCGGCGCTCCTGTACCGCCAGACGCTGGCGCAGGGCTTCCAGGAGGGGCTGCGCCGGGCGCTGCTGGCCTACGGGGAGGACGACGGGGTGGCGGACGCCCTGGACGCGCTGCAGCGCGCCTTGTCCTGCTGCGGTGTGGAGAGCTACCGCGACTGGCTGGCCTCGCCCTGGGGGCTGGAGCAGAACGGCTCGGTGCCCCTGAGCTGCTGCCGGGCCCGCCGCGGCTGCCAGCGCAGCCCGCCCGACGCGCGCAGCCTGCACCGCGACGGCTGCTTCAGCACCGTGTCCGCCTTCGTCGGCAGCAACATGTTTTATGTTGCCAACGCTGCCCTGGGGCTGGCACTGCTGCAGCTCGTCGGTATTGTGCTGGCATGCCTGCTGGCTGCCCGCGTCCCTGCCCACCTGCTGGGCATCACCACCCCTCGCTGAGATCCCCCCCTTCTGCCCCTTGTCCCCTCCAGTTCCCTTCTTTCCCACATAACTGAGTACACCCCACTGGGAATATCCTTCCTTCAGGTTCACCATTTCCACTTGAGCGTCCTCCTCCAGGCTCCATTCCTCTGGAGCCTGTGTTAGGTGTGCTATGAGCACCTCAAGTCCTTCGGAGGGGAAGGTTCTGGGAAGGTGCCTGCTGGCCTGGCCATGTGTCCTGCAGGGCAGCAGGTCCCCACTGGAGCCTCCGGACCACTTGGGCAGGGAGTGGTGGCTGCCTGGACAGACATCACTCTCTGAGGCAGCAGGGACATCTGAGGCAAGGCTGACTGATTTTCTGGGTGGTATACACGCCAAGGCACCTAAACGTGGACCAGGAAAGAGCAGAGGATCTAGGAGAGAAAAGAGGTGTCTCTTGACATTACACCATGTGAGTTTTCTTCTGAGACTGGAAAATGATGTTACTGATAAACTGCTGGAGTGCACGAGGGGCAGGCCTGGTCCAGGGGCACCTGGACAGCCATGCCAGCAGCTGACACTGGGATCTGCTTGAGAGACTGTCCAGCATCGTACATCCCATTGCCACAGGTATCCTACCTTCGGTGTGAGTGTTCAGCTGCTACGGGTGCTTTTTCTGCTGTTGGTATTTCCTATGCCGATTTCTATCTAAAGGTGGAGCTGCAGCTCTAAGTGTTACTCCCTCCTTCAGGATATGCCTGTCCTCTTAGCCAGTGTGTGGCTGGTTATATATATATATCTTTGCAGGGCTGAAAAGACCTAAAACCTTGGTCCCTGCCGTACAAGAAGATGGAAAAAGCTGTACGATCAAATCTGATGAGGGGTGGCAAACGGAGAGAAGGTTCATTGCCCTTCAGAAGTTTGCTTTGAACTTTTGCTGTTAATATCAGAATAAATGGAACAGGCTGATTGTTTTATAGAAGGGTTTCTAAAAATCAGGCCTCAGACTCTAACATTTTTCCTCTCTCAAAGGATCTGTCTCTGAAGTGTGCCCCCACCTACATTTTTGAAGCCAGACCTGTATACAACCTGAGAGTAAATGGAGAATCCCCAAGATTTGCTGTGTAGCTCTTGGTGTATTCAGGTCAGACAGCAATATAAATCTACAATAATTTGGGTTTTTTGCAATAGATCTTGGTTTGCATTTGGAGTTTGAGGAACAGCAAGCCATACACTCCAGAGAGTCCTGAACTTTTAGAGCTTAACTCCCGTTTCTTTCCACTTCCTTAAAACCTGTGAACTCTACTTTTACGTATCTCTCTACCTCGCAGCAAAGACATGCCCCCCTTAACCAGCAAACAGGGGAGGAATGATTTCAGAAAAGAATCAAAGGACCACAAGGGAACTCCAGAACATGGCATCTCTTAGGAATGTGACTTGTAAAGCTGTGGAGAATGGTCAAACGAGTAAAGAAGATGACTGGTAGCTTCATGGGAGGAGTGGAGCAACTTTGGGGGAAAGGCTTTCTTTCATGTATTAGGTGGCTATTTAGCTATGATAATCATGTTCCAGGTTAACCGTGTAGTGTGAACAGTCTTCACAGTCATTTGGGTATTCATCTGCATAGGTGGACTCTGGAAATGTGTTAGGAATCTCTGAAGGCAAAACAGTGTTTTATTTTTGAGGGCTGATGTTTATTATTTTACAAAATATATTTTTAATTTTTGCTTGTAAATGTATCTCTTTTTTTAGTTATGTGATAGTGGAACTCATGTTATTTTCTGGAAGTCAAGATGATGTACAATTTTAACAATGGGCAAAATGTATAGTTTGTATGGTAAATGGTACTTGAGAAATAAAGTTTGGCAGCTGCTAAGAGCAAAACAGGTCACTGTGTCAACTTGGGGTATTTGCATTGCTGTATGTCTACACAAGGTGCAACTAAATGCAAGTGAAATGAAGTTTACATTGAAATGTAGAGACAGAAGCATGTTGTGGGTTTTAAAAATTATTATTCAAAAGATCCATTATAGATGCAATAAAACAGGCATTATAGAGAGTGTGGGAAAGGGGCACAGAATTGCACTGGGTTTATAAAAAGATCTTCTTTATTTGAGTTAATAAGCTCTGAAAATTTACAAGAATATGACATTGCTCTATTTTTACTTTACTGATGACTAAAATTATTTCTGATTTTGACCCTTGTTGCTTTATGTGACACATAATAGTCAGTCAAAATGAAGTACTTTGTTAAAACACATTCAAACATAGTGTAAATACGCACTTCAGTGAATTTGTTTTGGTTTTAAGGTGCTAAGAATATAAAAATAGGAGTAAGAGCAAGTTTGAAACGTACCAATGTATGTTTGTGTGGTGATTGGGTCTGAATCCGAGGACACCAGCTGAATGTAATGAATAATTTAAAAATGTAAACCATCACTCTGCACTCTTGGCCTCACTAAAATAGGATAAACCTTGGCAATGACCACGTAAATGCTAAATATATTTATATCACCAAAGATTTAATGAACACTCACTGGCTGTGAGTGTTAATTGAATGTTTATTGCCAGTTCCTAGAATTAACAACATTAACTTTTGTAATTATGAGAAAGAAATGTCATTCTTCTCTAATTAATTTCCAGATTAAGAGATTCCCAGTAGCTGTTTCAATTGTCTGGAATTCTTTGTGCTCACTAATCAAATCTAACTTTAAGTTTTAAAATTTATCTGGATTCAAGGTTCATTTTGTCTAGATGGTCAAAATGGCTGTAACTGGAAAATATTACTGGGGACAGTACCATCTATCCCTTGCTGGAATATGTGTTTGTTTTCTGTCATCCACTTTAAAGTCACTCATCAAAATAGTATATTTTAATAAAAGATCATATAATTTTTTAATAAAAGGCTAATATAAATTCTAACATACTGGCTATTCAAATCAAGGAGCAATTTGTGTTGCGGTTGTAGAAACAACAGCTCTGTTGTTTGGGCAAAGTAATATTTAGGATTAACAGGGTGCTAAGATTAGACCCTTGTTATGAAACAAGGACTATTTTATAATGCTGATCTAGACTGCCAAGAATACAAATCTTTCAAACTTCAAAAGTGCTTTGATATTTCATCCAAGATGAATTATTTGCTGTAGCTAAACTTTGTGTTACAGAAAACCAGAACTAAACTGGTCTTTATAACAGATGAATTTTTAAGTAAGAACAGGTGAATTTTTAAATAAGAGATGGCTATCCTGGGGTTGAAAAACTTAAACAATTGGCCTTCCAACATGTGCATAGTTTATTTTTAAATGCCACTGTTTATTTTGTGCAACTAGAAAAGTTAATGACAATCACATTGTCTCTCCTTGAAGTTTAAGCTTTTCAGGATGATCTGTGGAAAGACATTCAAAGCAAACTAGACTGCAAAACAACCTAGTGGCAGGATCTCCTGTGATTCTTCTGTTTCCTTCTGTTTCAGTCTTTGTACGGTAAGCCTTTTGACAGCAGTAGTGAATATTTCATTGGTCGTGCACACATTGTGCTTCAAGATGGTAAAAATACATATTTCTACTCAACTCTATGTGATTCAAACCCATAGATTTCACTTTGTTCAATGTGCCATTTTAGTTTGCTGAAAATTGCTTAAAATATCACAATTTAATCCTGCTTTGCTGTGCCCTCTACTGTTGCCATTGTCTGGCCAGTAAAATGCAAATATCCAAGGATTTAGTGTCCCATGTCATCAAAGAGAACACCATCACACATATTCTTCAGAAAGATATTGGTCAAATATATGGATTTGCTTGTGGATGAGGCAGAAAAAAAGAAGCAAACAAAGGAACATATTCTGTCCTTCACATTACCTTTGATTTGCAATTGACACACAGTACTCTGTTGTAAGGAGGAAATCTTTTGTTAATGCTTCTAAATCTACAAAATAGAATTTATTAGAGTATCTTATCTGGGCTACAGAATTAAAATTATCAAATTAAACATTGTTTAAAATGCTCTAATTCTATAAAGATCTCTCTAATCTGCTTGAAATGGTTTCTGTGCAGCTTTGCTTCTCCTGTGCACTCATTCTTCTCACATCTAGAGTCACTCTAAGGTTGGCTAAGTTTTGAGTTGAGTAGTATTTGAAGCTTCAGTCTTAGACTATTCCCATTTTGTAGATGTTATCCCTGGTTTATCATACTAGGGTACTCAGACTAATTATGATACATTACATATGTATATATACACATATATACATTATATATATATATATACGCACATGTATATACATACATATATATATGTGTATATATGTATTCAGATACATTATAAATATAACGTTTGTATTTGTTGGTTTTGAACAGTATCTTGAGTCACACACAAAATAAAGGGAATTGCAATGCTCATATTGACCAAGACAGACAACTCCTTGGGACTGACAATTCTTGGAAGACTATCATATTCCATCCTAACACCATAACAAATAGATCAAATACTGCTTGGTAATTCATGTTCCTAGTTTTCCCAAAATAATGGTTCTACAGCTTTTCTCCATTGAGATGAATCATCTTAAGGTATCAGCACTTTAGAGCAATGGTGTGGTCTCAAAACCTAAGAAAAGGAATCTTTCATGCTTAGTGTTAATAATTTCAGATAGCTTCACTTCTTCCAGGCCACAGAGATGGGGTGCTGAGAGTATCCCTGGTCACTTCTAGGACTGACTGGAGGGTTGGGATTCAGAATATCTTGGTTAAAATGTCAGCATCAATAACAGTAGTTCTACTGCTTTACTGCTGTTCTGAGGGCATGTTCCTGGGCTGTTTCTCTGCTTTTGGTTCCTTGACTTGGCAGACAGCACTGTGTAGTGTGCCAAAAGCCACCTCTAGGACAAGATCCTCTTCTCAGTAGTTGTGCTGGAGTATTATGCCGTGTTCCTTGCCATAGTGTAGGTGTCCCAGTAGTCCCAGGTACTGCCATTCTTACCTGGAAACTCTTGGAAGAGGTAAAGGTGGAGGCTTGTCAGATGCAGTATCACCTTGAGTTTCAGTACA